ACGACTTCCGCGGTCTCGAGGCGTCCCCTGCTGGCGGTGGCGCGCGCTGCGGCCCGGGTCCCTGGGCCCGCCGGCCCCGGTGTGCCCTTCCCCCACTCCCGCACCCCGTCGAGAAGACCCAGTATTCCCATCAACAGCATTTGTAGCCCACGGCTGAGACTGTGACTCAGGGACACTTGGCTTCTCTGTCCCCTCCGTTGTTTAACTTCTTTCTACCTTGGACCCGCTGAATATACATCCCCACCTCCCTCCAATGACAGAGCACACTCCTCACCTACCAAAAAACCTTGTTGGGCGTTTAGAATTCTGGCGTTCACTTTCAGTAACATGAAATTCACCTCTCTCATCAACGCTCCTGTCTCCTACAGTAGCCTCTGGCTACTCCGGGTAAATGAATTTGGAACTCTGCCCAGTTCAAGTTCTTGCACAACCACCAGCAAACTAGTTGTCAGTGACTACGTAAGGCCAGGCGCCATTTACGCGCTTCTCCCGCTGGGACTCAGTTAATCTTCACCCTTGCCCTAGGAGGCATAGACCTCTTTAATCCCGCTACACAGTTGAGAATAATGAGATTATAGAGAGTGACTTTTCCATGACTATACATCAGTATGAGGCAACACTAAGATCTGAATCAGAACGGAACTCACATCTGGGAACCCACTGGTTCTCAAACACTGACCAGATACCGGCTCATTGGTTCAATTATTGCTGTAGGCCACGGAGGAGTTATAAAACAGAACAACAACAACAAAAAAAAAAATCTCTGGGAGCTGGAGAGATGTCCCAGTGGTTAGAGCACATACTCCTCTTGCAGAGGACCCAGGATGGAGTCCCAGCGCACTTGTCCAGTAGCTCAGTACCTGCTTGTGACCACTTCTGACACATGGACACACATACAATTTAAAATTAAAACATAATTTTAAAAAAAAACACCCTCGTGGAGCTTGCATTCAGGGGGAAAACAGAGGAGGGGGTGGAACTAACAGTGGGGGAAGAGGGTTGCTGCAGTTATAAACAGACCACCTGCTATTTGATGGATTTGATACTTATCACCATCTTTAGAATGGGGCTCCTCTGGGGAAGCATTGTCCCCCAGGGCCTGGTATCCAGCATACTCAGTAAGTAATGTGTGAGTGGGTAACTGATAAATGGTTTTAAACATGGTCTTTGCTTTCATGAAGACTTCATGAAACTCATGTCCCAGCAGGAGGTGGTACAGCAAATATAAATAGATGTAACAGCAACCTGAGACACGCACCCTCAAGGAAATGAAGCTCTGTAACAAGGAGCCCTGGGGAAGGGGGTCCTGCTTTACATAACATGATCCAAGAGGCCTTTGCTGAGGAGGTGGCCTGATTCCACACAGTCTGAAACCTGAAGTACGAGGAGCCAGCCTCAAGCAGACCAATGGGAAGAAACACTTCAGGCAGAGAGCTAGCCTGGGCAAAAATAGGCTGGTGGGTTAGGATTAGGGATGCTGGAGTGGAAAGGTGGGGTTGGGGTGGGGGAAACAGGCAGGTGCAGCTGGAGAAGTTGCCAGGGCCTGTAAACCACATAGGAAGCTGAATAAGGAAGAAGTTTTAGGTTAAACCCTAAGAAAATGATAAGCCACTGATGGAGAGTGGAAAGTCTTGAATTCTGATTTTTAATTTCCCCAATGACTAGAGACAGGGACATTGGACGAATATATTTAAGTACACATTCTGAGGTATGTAAACCTCTCCATTCCCTGCCTCTCTTCTCAACTGGCTCACACTGAGACAGGTACACTGAGACTCTTCCCTGAGGCTAGAAAGGGAAGAACTGCCTGTTCCTGGGCTCCTGGGCTCCTGCTGCTTGACTCCAGGCTGAGACAGGGAAGGGGCAAAGATGGTGAGGACCAGAGCATTAAATTGAGAGTCACAGGGAGGCAGAGGTAGAAGGAGAAAAAGTGAAGGCAAGATAGAAATACGTGCTGAAACAGAAGAGAGAGATCAGGCAACCAGATTGCAGAGGGAATAGGACTGATCTTTTTTTTTTTAATCTCAGGTTTTGAGGTGTGTAAACCAAGACCTGGAAAGTATAAGATGTTGGCCTGAGGTCACACTTTCAGTCCATGGAAGATGTCAAGATTTGAACCCAAATTTGATAGATTCCACCATTCCCTTGATCCTTGGACAGGGGACAGCCTGGGAAACTAACGCGAATGGAGAGTGCCTGTGCTAGCAACAGGTGGACAGATAAAGAGAACATTCCCCTTTGTGTTTAAAAGGGGGCCACAAAAGAAAGGCTCTGCCCTGGCTTGGAATGACTGCCCCAAATCTAGGGAGAAGGATAGGGTACCACAGTCCATGCCAGGTCAGGAAGAAATTCAATTACCTACAGCTCATGGAATATTTATGATGCCCATCCTGTGCTAGGCCCCATATTGAGTGCTGGTGTCATGGAGATGAACTAAACAAGGCTCACTCTTAGCTGGAGGAGGAAGTAGGCATACAAATAACCATGAGATAGTATCCGAAAGGCCATAACATCAGCCAAGAGAAAATGCAAAGGCATTGGGGTTGACTAAATAAAACAGTATCTGAACCTGGAATTCCCCTGGCAGTTTAGACAGGAAAATTCATTTCAGGTAGTAGCATAAGACAAGGATGGGCTGGCAAAAGGGAGGGTCAGGTGTAGTTGGGTCACAGGCTATGTACAATCTAAGAGAAGAAGATAAAGCAGGAAAGACCAGGTGGGCATCAAAGCACTCGTTGTCTTGAATGGAAGGTTAAGACCATAGACTTGAGCCCCTTCATCAGTGGCTCTCAAACTGTGCCCCTGGGTGAACCCAGATGGCTTAGACCAAATGTGAAGGTTTATAGAGGTGTCCAGAAAGATGAAGTTTAGTGTCAAGGAGGAAAGCTTGCTTTCCTAGTTGGCTGCCCAGGAACTGGGCAGGAGTAATAAAATAGCTCAATGTCACCTAGAGGGTCCTACAGCAGAGGAACCTTCTGAACTTCCTGGTACAAGTACACCTACCTGTCACTATGAAAAGGAGTAAGAAGGAATGGGTATGGTGTTCACGTGTGTGCACATGCACAAATATAACTGTGGGACCAGGCTATTCTCCCGCTGGAAGACATCAGCTTTCTCTAATAAAGTGAAGACAGCTATTGAGCATGTACTTGAGCCAAGCCTTAGTGTCTTATATATGGTATTTCTCACTTTATCTGCAAAACATACCCCTGTAATAGTTTTTGAGTGTTCTCATGTGCCAAGCAATGTTATAAGTGCGTCAGGTGGCATTATCTCCTTTAATCTTTAATGCAACCTTGAGACTATTTAGTCTTTCAATTTATTGTTTTTTTTTTTTCCTTTGCCATGTTAGAGATCAAACCCAGGACCTCACGAATGCTAAGTGTGTGCTCTAGCACTGAGCTACACCTCTAGATCTGTTCCTTTCATTTTAACCATGAGGGAAACAGACACAGAAAAGCCAAGCAACTAATACAAAACCAAACAACCAGAAAATGGCAGAACCAGGACTCACATCTAGATTTGCCTGTGTCCAGTTCCTAAAGCCTTAATCTCCATACTTTGTTGGGCTCTCTTCCTCAGAGAAAAGGTTCTTATACCATGGCAAGCTTTGGGCCAATCATCTTTGTCCCTCAAAGCCCTGGCTCTCTAACACTTACTCCTGGGTTAGCACATAACCACACTCTAGGAGGCTTGTAAAGATGTATACATTTTGGTCATGTACCTCTCACATGCGTCTGTATCAGTAGGCCTAAAATAGAACCTCATGGACCAGGCTTTCTTTTAGGCCACCAACCAGCTCCCAAATCATGACAGGGAGACAATATTAGTTATGAATGCTGGGCCTAACTTAGGCTCATTTCTAGCTAGCTCTTTTAACTTAATTTAACCTGTTTCTCTTCTACATTTTGCCTTGGGGCTTTTTACCCTTCTTTCTTTTCCTTTCTTTCTTTCTATCTGTCTTTCTTTCCTTCTGTCTTTCTTTCTTTCTGTATATCTTACTTTTCTGCTTCCTCCAATATCTGGCTGGGAGCTGACTGGCTTCTGGCCCTGGTCATGTCCCTCTGTTTCTCCCTCATTCTTTTCTTTTCTCTCAAGCCTGGATTTCTCTTCCTATTTATTCGCTCTGCCCACCCCTCCCACCTCTCCTTTCTCTGCCTAGCTATTGACAGACCGTTCAGCTCTTTATTAGACCAATCAGGTGACTTAGACAGGCAAGGTGAAGCAAAAGCAATACATCTTTACATAATAAACAAATGCTGCATGAACAAATGTAACACATCTTTGCCCGAGTAAAGTAATATTCCACCACAACCTCATATGATTTCCATGCACCCAGGTTTGGAGTCAAAGGATTGGCTCCAACAGCACCTCCTTCAAAAGTTCTAGCCTGCCTCCACCACACAGTGCTCCTTCTCTTCAAACTGCAATAATATATACTCAAATGCATGCTAAGGTTCAACCAGAGGGTTATTTATGCTTATGTCCTCCCTCCACCAAAAATAAGACCCTGCATTTTCACAAGTCTATACCCTTTTAGAAAGAATTTCCATTTTCCTACTCAATATCTTTCTACAATGAGCATTTTAAAAGACGCCTTCCTCATTGCATTTTTCTCATATCCGAACAACCTGATGTTATCCTGTCCACCATAACATTCTCCTAACGTCTTGTCCAATCCTCACAACCATTTGAAAAGAAGCGTGTGATTTTCACAGCACTGATAAGAAACAGGCTCGGAGTTGTGCTCACTTGCCCAAGCTAGGAAAGAGCAGGGCTGGAATTTGAGCCTGGTATTCCTGCTTCCATGTCAACTGGGGCAGAGAAGTAACTTTCAAGTCCCTATGTCCCGGTGGTGCACGCCTTTAATCCCAGCACTCCGGAGGCAGAGACAGAGCTCTGAGTTTGAGGCCAGCATGGTCTACAGAGAGAGTTCCAGGACAGCCAGGGCTACACAGAAAAACCCTATCTCAAGAAACCAATATAATAATAATCATGGTGATGGTGATGACGATGATAATAAAGTCCCTGTGTTGCTCTGGGGAATTAGAGGTGAAAGGAAATGATACTTTAAAGAGCCTGGCACGGTTCTTTAAAGGGTGGCAAGGGGAAAACTGAGGCCAGAATGTAATTGACTTCCTCCAAATGCAACACCACACTGCAAACAATATTCGCAGCTCTAGGCCAGTCCCAGACTCTATTCGTTGGGAAGACTACTTTGGCTGGTTCTGCAATTTCTTCTCAGGTCCCTGATTTTCCTACCCCACCCCATCCCACCCCACTCCCCAACGCCAGGACGGGAGCCATTTCTGGGAATACCACAACTGGGACAGAGAACAGCGTGGTGCCTCTTTAAAAGGGCGGAGGCGTGGCCATGAGCGGGGCGGGGCCCAGGCTTGCGGTCGCGGGCGGATGACGTGACCCGGCGCGCCGGGTTTTGCCGGCGCTGAAAACTGGAAGCGGCATGCTGGTCAACCGGCTCCTGACAGGGGCGCGAGCCCGGGCGCCTCTGCAAACGAGTCTCCTCGAGACGTGGCGCCTCCGCGGCCGGACCGCCTCCTCCTACTCCGCTTCCTCTGAGCCGTCCAAGGTGCGGGCGCTGATCTATGGCAACCACGGGGATCCGGCCAAGGTTATCCAGTAAGAGTCGGCGCCGAGCCGGGCCGGGAGCTGGGTCCCTGGAGGGTTTGAAGGCGGGCGGCTGACTGACTGCGAGGAGAGAACAGGGTCCGAGGAAGCGGACGCCGCCGTCCCACAGACGCCGAAGCCCAAGGCGCGCTTGCTAACTCGACCCCCGTGCTTCCCGGCGGCGGAAGACCCGCGAAGCACGGGTGCAAGAGTGAAGGGTGAAGTCTGTCGGTCGGTATCGATCGAGGATTGTGGCGGGCACGCCTTTGTCTCAGTGGCGTCGGGGCGGTAGTTATTGGATGTGTTCCCATTATGCAGATGAGAAAATCGAGGCATAAGAAAGTTAAAACTTCTTGCCCAAAGTCACCCAGCCAGTGAGAATCGAAATTTGAACATACAGTCTAAATTCTACTTCTTTATTTGTTTATTTTTCCGAGGAAGTGATCAAAATTCTTTTACATCTATTTGGATCGTCGGTTCTGAGTTAAATAGTTAGTTTCCGTTTCACAGAGGTCAAGGGACTTGTCCGAAATGATACGGCTAATTAGTGATTGGAATAGGGGCTGGAATTCACTGCTGGTCCCTTCCATATGTGAGTTTCCTTCCACCACACCATGTATGCACCTTGGCCTAGTTATGAGTTGTTTAAGCCCGGCACACGTCTTTAATCCCAGCACTCCGGAGGCAGAGGCAGGCGGATCTCTGTCAGTTCAAGGCCAGCCTGGTCTACAGAGTGAGTGCCAGGACAGCCAGGACTATATAGCGAGACCCTGTCTCAAAACAAACCAACAAAAAAGAGTTGTTTCGTAATCCCAGCATGCTGAGGCAAGAGAGTTGTGAGTTTGAGACCAGCGTGGGCTAAATAATGAGCCTTTGTGTCAAAACACACACAGAGGGTAAAATACATAAAAAATTTTAAAAACCCAAGTCCGATTTAGGGGCCGCACGTGATGGTCCTTCCCTCCGCCCACTTCCCCGCCCCCACCCCAGCACCTTGACCAAAGTTGCCTGGTTATAATTTTTTTTTTTGAAGGGGTGGGCATTCCTTTTGTTGTCTTGTTTGTTTTTTTGAGACAGGGTTTTGCTTTATAGCCCTGGCTGGCCTGCCTCTGCCTCCCAAATGCAGGAGATAAAGGTGTGCAACTCCAAGCCTACCCCCACCCCATTTTTTTTAAAAAACAGAGTCTGACCTCTAACTCCCAAGTGCCTGGATTACAGGTGTGTTCTCCACTGCCCCTGCCCCTCTTCCTTTCTCTCCCACCTCAGACAAGGGCGCCCTGTGTTGCCCATGCTGGCCTGGAACTTGTGACCCTCTGTGTCAGCTTCTCAAGGAGTTGGAATTACTGATTGATGTTCTTTTAAATTGCTCTAGAGGAGGATGTGGCCAGAATAGTATATGACCTTGAGTTTCTCTGAAGCTTCTCTCTGCCTATCAAAGCACCTAGCTTGTACTTAAACCATTACAACAATTGTATGTCTGCTGTGAATCAAGGAGTTATAAAGGCACTACAGGGGAGCCTGCAGGTGCTTTTGTTAGCTCATTCTTAGCTGATTAGCCCTGTGTGGTGTGTTTGTGAAGTGGCCCAGAGAACTAAGTGAGCTTGCCAAACACACAGCTACATCAAGTTAGGGCAAAGAGCTGCCTCCAAGGACCCTAATTTCCAGATTGGTGCTTTCACTTTTGCCCTGCTTCAGGCAGCCTTCACGGCTCTTAAGACTGACAATTTATGTGTAGATTTATTTGTTGGTAATCCACATGCAAAAATTATGAATTAAGACCCAACAGAATTTTAAGAGAGGGTATTATAGACACAGAGGCCTGAGAGGTTGACTAACTTGTCTAAGATCAAACATCTCATATTTGATTTCAGAAGTAAGTATGGGGGTGGTGGTGGCGGGGACGGGGCTCTCAGGAGTCAGTTCTCTCCTGCCATCTTTTGGGATCTGGTGATTGAACTCTGGTCATTTGTGACTCATACCTCTGCCAGCTGAGCCATCACACACACACTGTTGTATTTTGCTCAGAGGCAATGAATCATGTCAGGGAAGACATTTCCCTGAAGATTTTGCTACAGTGAGCTGATAAAGACTATCTGAGCAAGCCTCCATTCAAAAATGGACCCAAAAGGAGAGCAGTGTGGTACTGCTCCAAAAGGCTTGTCATTTGTGTGTGTCTCTCTCATAGGCCTGCTATGAAACAGCCGTTCCTGTCACGTTAGCTGAAGCCGAAGCTCATCTCATTAAGAAGTGCACCTTTTATTGAGTTCTTCCAAGGAGATGAGGAAGGCCTGGATGGTTAAACAGCTGTGTGTCATGGCCTCCTGATTGGCTACCTGTTAAAGAGCCAGGGAACCTGACATAGACCTGTCTGCTGGCAGATACCACCAGGGGGGGAAAAAAAAAGACAGCTGCTTTTGTCTTCATGTCCCCCGAGCTCAGAACGTGACACTTGTACCTGGCATTCTCTTCATTCTGGGCTTCACAGCTCAGTCAGTCACCTGTGCTACATTTGGAAGCTATTTCCAGGCTCCACCTCTGATGTGCTTAGAAGGACTGGGATGTCTGTTTCTTTAAGCTCTGCAAGCCTCCAGGTGACTGCTGTCCCCAATGCTGAGAAGCAGTGCCTGTGGATCGATGGCCAGGCAGTAGGAATTGTCCCTGGTCTGAAATGACCTTCCCTTCTGACCCAAATTCAGGCAACTTTCTTTGCATGTGGGCTGAGGCCCATGACCAGAATTCCCTTTGTAGTCCTGTGTGCCATTTACAGTAACCAGAACCACAGAAGAATCAAGTGTTCTTTTCACATCCCAGTAACTGGGCATCTCTGGATCTGGTGACCAGTAGGGTCAAGAAACTACCCAAAATCCAAACAATAGTTCCCAGGCAGGTGTGGTTGGTACTGTGCGCCAGTGCTCTGGGAGCTGGGGAGACCTTAGGGAAAGGTATGAAGTCAGAGTGCAGGGTTTTACAATAGTCTGGAAACTTCAGAGATGGCTATAACCATTGTCCTCTGAGCAGAATTCTAGATTCTTTTTGTTTGTTTGTTTGTTGAGACAGGGTTTCTCTGTGGCTTTGGAGGCAGTCCTGGAACTACCTCTTGTAGACCAGGCTAGTCTTGAACTCACAGAGATCCCTCCTGCCTCTGCCTCCCAAATGCTGGGATTAAAGGTGTGCGTCACCACGCTCAGCTGAGTTCTAGATTCTATACCACAGAGGCTCTGGAAACCTTGGTGTCCTTTTCACCCCCATCCTCCCCCTCCCCCACTCTAGGGAGTGTCTTCCCAGATCTTTGATGTTCTCTTGAATGCCAATGTGGAAATAACTCATTTATTGTTTACTCACAAAGTAGCAATTGTCTCCGGGGGTTGGTGGTGCGTGCCTTTAATCCCAGCACTCGGGAGGCAGAGGCAAGTGGATCTCTGTGAGTGAGTTCGAAACCAGCCTGGTCTACAAGAGCTAGTTCCAGGACAGCCTCCAAAGCCAAACCCTGTCTGGAAAAACAAAAAAACAAAACAAACAAACAAAGTAGCAATTGTCGAGCTAAGTTCTCTGCATATACTTGGTATTCAAATGGGACTGAGGTTATTGTAGCTCAGAGTAGTGTCCTTGCCAAGCATGTACCAAGTCCCTGAGTTCAGTCCTAGGCATCACAAGTCAACATCATCAAGTTTGGTACACTCTTCCCAGTCTAACAGATAAGAAAACCTGGTCTCAAGAAGATTGAAAGGCTCTTGTCAAAAAACAACTAGAATGTTCCTACTTAAAAGTACTGCATGGGGATAGGAGTTCCCCATGGAGACAAAGGCTGGAAGAAGCAGTTGCAATCATCTGAAAGGGTTTTTCAGGATGAGATGGAGGGTAAAACTAGGATTATAGTAGTTTACAAGAGAAAATGAAATTATAGGTCATTCAGTGGCCCCAAGTTTTCTGTTTTGCCCTGGGATGAGGGAGATACCAGCCTCTGACTCATCCCACATCCAGCTTGTGTGGTCTCCCAAGATTACACCTGTAATCTCAGCACTCAAAATGGAAACAGGAGCATCAGGAGTTTGAAGCCAGTCTTGGCTGCATCGTGAGTTTGAAACTAGCCTGGGCAACATAAGATGCAGTCTTAAAATACCAAAAGAAGTCCCCAGCCCCCTAAGTGGCTTCTTGCCTGCCAGCTGCAGGATGAACCCATGCTGGGACACATTCGGTTATGATCCCCTTTCTGATTTAAGCCAGATGGAACTTAGGGGGCCCAGGGTTGTTGATAATGCATTCTCATTATAGAGTGCTATTTATTCTGAGTTCTTTCTACACTTGATGTCAGTGTTTTTTGTTTATGTTTTGGTTTTTCAAGACAGGATTTCTCTGTAACCCTGGCTGTCCTGGAACTCACTCTATAAAACCAGTCTGGCCTCGAACTCACAGAGATCTACCTGCCTCTGCCTCCTGAGTGCTGAGATTAAAGGCATGCACTACCACCACCCAGCTGAGGTCAATGTTTAAAACTAAAACTCTGCAGGTAACTTGGTTTTTAAACCAGAATTATAATTTTTTTAATTGACGTTTTGGTTTGGTGTTCTGTTGAGGGATTTTTCATAGTCAAAGATGAAAGAAGTGGGCATAGTGTTCATTGGTACAAGAAGCTAGCTAGCATTGGTTCTTTGAGAGGCAGGTAGGTGCTGGGCCCTGAAGATTCAGAGACAAGTGATTTATACCTTTGGCCCCAGGAAACCCCAGTCTAGTCCAGGAGTTGACCCACTGTAGCCCATTTGGGGAGATGCTATGATATGTTCAGAATGTAATAGGTATTCAGAAGAGGGAAGTCCAAGCCCCATGGGAGATGAGGTAATGCCATATGAGAGGAGTGTCCTAAGCAAAAGAGTCTTTGGGTGCAGAATCCCTGAGGTCCTCAATACCTAATGCTGCTTGGCAGGGACCTGTGTAGTAACAGACCCAGAGGATATTAAGTTGAGGTCATGGATTCGCACTCGCACTGTATTGTGGAGTTCATGCCATGCCCCACT